GGGTAACAGTACATGTAACCCGTACAGACGTAAAACCCTGGTCAAACGAGAGTGCATGAGAGTTCCAAATCTTGTCAACCCTCATGCACTCTCGTCAACTTTGGTTCAAATTTTGATGAGCGTTTTCGCTCGTAATATCTGTAGCCAACTCTAGTGCAACTCGTTTGGCATAAATCTGCTCTTTTAGAAATGCTTCCTCTTATATTTTTACCCAACATCGCAAGGCAGGCTCTCTATTTCCACATGCTGGGGCAAAGAACTCCCAAAATCTGGGGGTTCACGTGACCAGCCGCAACCAAGGTCTTTGCCGTAGCATGTGGATGTAAAGAGCGTGGTGTATGAGGTTTGAGTTGACTGAGTTTCTCACTCATTGGTGAGTGGATTTCCCAACAGGCTATTGCCAATTGATAGGGGATCCGAGGAACCTACGATTTTAACGTCCTTATCCGAGAAGACGCGAAAGTCTAACCATTTACTGGTGTCATGTAAAGGTAGCACTTTCTCCTCAATTATTTTAAGATCTTGAGTAGAGTTCTGACCAAGGACTGAACCCAGGTCTTCCTGCTTGAAAGGCAAGCGTGGTGATCATGCTTTACTAATACTCTTCTCTAACTTCCAGGTCCGTAATGCGCACAACTACCTCAGAGATTTCATAGACGAAGAAGAGCTGTACTACAAATCAGGTCGCTACATCTCCTATCTTGAGAAATGGAATGGAAGAGGTCTGGATTTCTTTAACCGTATGCTGAAACTCGCCATTGACTTGGTGGTGGAAGACATCTGGAAGCCTATAGATGCTGTTGTCGTGGAAGCATGGATCGAGGATTTGGTTAGTTTTGGATATGAACCACCCAAGCTGAGTACAACTCCTAAACCGTGCAAGCATGTCATCGAAAACGCAAAAGAAATGAAGTTCCAGCAGCAACCCTCGTCGCATTTAAGAATTGGAAAGAAAATGAAAGAAATACAGAGCTTAGGTTAAGCTTCCGTCATGCAACAATGCTCGCAACGATGTTGGTGGTTTCCTGCAGTAACAATCAGTGATCATGTTGCTATGTTGTTAAAATTGTGGTGTGTTGTAGTCGTAGAATCGATTGGCTGATCGCATTATTAATCCGCACCCCCTTTGTTGAGGACATCCATTTTTTGGTCCCCCCTCCCCTGGAATTTCCACATACTTTAAGGGAATTTTTAGCCTCCCCTGTGGAATTTCCGCAGATTTTCATTGAATTCTAGCCATGCCCATGGAATTTCCGCAATTTTTTATGAACTTTTCACCCATCCCATGGAAAATCCTTGACAGTTTTTTATCTAGCCAGTGGAAATTCCGTATTGATTCTTTGATTAGTAGCTATCCCTTGGAAAATTCCTTGCTGACTTTTATCCTATCCTTTGGAATTTGTTTTCCATTATTGACCCTCCCATGGAAATTCCATACGTTTTACTCATTTTTCTTACCTACCCTTTGGAATTTCCGCAGATTTGCTTTAAAATTTGGACCTCCCATGGAAATTCCTTCATTTTTGGTTCACTTTTGCAGGAGGCCATTGGAAATTCCACATGTCCTCAATAGAGGGGGGGGGATTAATAATGCGATCAGCCATTATCATAGGTGTAGCAATTTTTATCATCATGTTGTAAAATGTGATTATTATTTTATTATTTAATCTTATTTTACAACGGTAGCATTAAAAACTCATAAACGTTGTGGCAAATCATGCCAGCCATAATATGTCACGTGGAGTGACTGTATATCTGATAAAAATCATCTTCATTAGTATTCTTTATATAATTGTTCATCCTAATTAGTATGATGATATAATTGTTCATCCTAATTAGTACTCTTTTGTAGTCGTATTTTAAGCTATTCAAAGCTATTCTATTAAGCTATTAAATATGATAAAACACTCCTTCTCGTGTTTTAAATAGTACATCATAGACTGGGGGGCCTTGTCCTCCCCAGCCCATATTTTGGCTCCTCCAGTGGACCATGTTGCCCCCCCAGTGAAGCTCCCTTCTGTCTACATGCAATATAAGCAAAAAAGGGAAGAATAACTTAGTTAAGAAGAGTATTTTAGTATTCCCATGGCCAAATCTTTGCAGTCTAGCGGATGAAATAAAAAAAATTGTTTCTAAAAATACTGAAAATCAAGACCCAGACACTTAAAAATACAAACTTTTTCTGGGCCAGACAAGTTCCCACTTTTGACTTTTCCCGTTCACCACCTCCCTCCCATAGATATCTTATATGGTGCATCTAATTATTCTGCAATTCAAAAATTGAAGCGGCCGTGATTGCAGTCTCAGGTCGTTCCCATGAAATGAGAAGATTCGTATGTTTTCTATTTCTTAAACAGGGAACTTAAACATTAAGTTAACCCTATTCCAAATACATTTTAAAAACTATTCAAATGACGAAAGTTATTGTTGTTTTTAAGCGTTTATTAGCAAGTGGGAACGACCAACATGGCCGCCATCTATATTCAAATGGAGGTAACCGCTGGAATATTCTTGGCTTCAATTTTACTAAAAGAGATGCGCTATCTAGTGTATATAAGATATCTATGGCCCGTTCCTCTTGATGGCCCCTCCACCGACAAATTCTGAAAAGAGGCCCTGCGTCTCTCAAGAGAGCCTCCCAAGAGGGAACGGCTGGAACCGAGCCTACTCGAAACGTCGAACTGTTTTAACTTGTATTTTTCAGTTGAATCCCTCTCGATCCGAATAGTTCCTAAGTAATTTCATTACTCATTAGGTAGGCTTTGGTGGTCAACTCTAAAAAAAATAAAGATAGTTCTTGGAGTGTCAAAATTGTTCACTATAAGGCTATATGTATTGAAAAGCAACGTTTATTACCATATGTATCGACTATTTTCTCGCTCTCGTAACTTTTAAGTGGACCACTATCTGTATTAGTTAAAAGTTACAATTAGGGTATCGCAATTTTGTAAGGATCAAGTTTAATTAAAGTTTTGATTTGCAATTTTGATTTTTAGCGATGTTTGTATTTGCAGTCTCGACGTATATAGCTCCACAAAAATTTGAAGAATGAACAGTCGCAGACGAAAATATTGTCTATCCTTGCATGAAACATCGCATGTTTGTAGCAGGTAATCAGAAAAACATGAATCAGATATAAAAACCTGTCAAATTCCGTTGACAATCATGAAAGTATGGCGTTCCGGTCAAAATTAGTTATATTCATAACATTTAGATATAACACCGTGGCGATATGTTATAACTCTCGAAATAAAATTGAACCGCACAAAAATAATTCGAACTCGCACAAAAATAATTCGAAAGGAAACGCACGAAAATAAATCGAAAGGAAACGGCGGCAGTGAACACAAAAACAAATCGAAAGGAAACGGAAGTCTCTGACTAAATATATGGGTTTGGTGAAAAATGCGGATACGGACTGCGGATTTTTTATTTCATAATTATATACGTATAAACGCGCATATATATTATGGTGTCAGTCGTCAAGCTTATTATTGTGGTTTATTGAAATAACCCCATTTACACTAGAAACGAAAATAAATCGAAAGGAAACGGCGGCAGTGAACACAAAAACAAATCGAAAGGAAACGGAAGTCTCTGACTAAATATATGGGTTTGGTGAAAAATGCGGATACGGACTGCGGATTTTTTATTTCATAATTATATACGTATAAACGCGCATATATATTATGGTGTCAGTCGTCAAGCTTATTATTGTGGTTTATTGAAATAACCCCATTTACACTAGAAACGAAAATAAATCGAAAGGAAACGGCGGCAGTGAACACAAAAACAAATCGAAAGGAAACGGAAGTCTCTGACTAAATATATGGGTTTGGTGAAAAATGCGGATACGGACTGCGGATTTTTTATTTCATAATTATATACGTATAAACGCGCATATATATTATGGTGTCAGTCGTCAAGCTTATTATTGTGGTTTATTGAAATAACCCCATTTACACTAGAAACGAAAATAAATCGAAAGGAAACGGCGGCAGTGAACACAAAAACAAATCGAAAGGAAACGGAAGTCTCTGACTAAATATATGGGTTTGGTGAAAAATGCGGATACGGACTGCGGATTTTTTATTTCATAATTATATACGTATAAACGCGCATATATATTATGGTGTCAGTCGTCAAGCTTATTATTGTGGTTTATTGAAATAACCC